GAGGAGGAGGAGGAGGCGGCGGCGGTGGTGGTGGTGGTGATGGAGGCTTTGTGGTCTTCACGTTCCTTATCATCATCATCATCATCATCATTGTCGTCGTCACGACAGACAATCAAAAGAAGGGAAGAGCAATGCAGTACTTTGTTTGTTTGACTACTTGTGAGTAGATCTGATGGATACTTTGGTTTTCGTTTTGTTTTTGTGCACGTGAATTGGACTTCATTGCTAGGCCAAAGCTCAATCTTAACAATAATGTCAACTTCTACCCTGTGTTGTTGGCAGTTCTGAGTCCTGATGGTACAAATAACAGTGAGTAGTCAAGGCGGGCAAGTAAAGTGCAGTAAAATAAGTTTGAAAACAAGGGGATGTGATGAAAAGGGCACAAGCAAAGTAATTAAGAACAAAAGCAATGCTTTTCTGTGCAAAATGATCGGTATGAATGTTGACTTGACTAACATCAGGTCAATTGCCTGCTGTGAGAGGGCGTTTCATAGGGGATGAAGGAGGAACACCAATGGTCATACAATGATGGCTGATTTTGTCTTAATGAGGCAAGGAGAGACATGACTGAATAAACCACATCGATAAAAATTAGTACTTTGACAGGAGTTAATAATATTTTACAGTAGTAGATGAGATGCAGACCGACCAGTTTCTCTCTCCTCCTCCACTAGAAGATCAATAGACCACTGGAAGTTGCTTTTGAGCCACTTCACACTCAAGAAGAGAAGAAATGAGAGCCGAAATAACTCTCCTTTTCCTGTCTCTCCGCGTTGGGCGGCTTGTGCACCCTACAGCATAGCAACGTCAAATGACTACACAAAAAGCGAAGGAGTAGGAACAAGAGGAACAGGTCGGCATCTAGCCACACCTTTGTCAAACGCCATAGGCAAGAATTTCGGTAACGGCATTGTAGCAACCAGCTACCACTCCCCAATGACACACATCTGATAACAGTTAAGGTGGTACGGTAGTAACAGTAAGAAGAAAAATTGTGATGAAGCGCTAATCCACTTTCATATTCCTAATAGTACGTGCTAAGCCCAAACTAAGCGAAGTAGATTGTCTTTAGACTACCGACGAGACTAAAAAAGAAGAAAGGAGGCAGTTTTCCCTTGTGCACATTGGACTCCTTGGCAATGGGTACTGTTTCTGCGTACTGAGTTAGTAGCCAGGTCTGTTGTGAGGCGATGTGTAAATATTAGACCAATAATACCTTTCTACTAATGATAAATAAGTAGGAGTTAAAAAATCATAAATGCAAATGCGGCGTGGCAAGGCGATTTTGTGTCATTGCTCACTTATGTAGATAACCGGGGTATAAAAGCAAAAGAAGCGTCAATAAAAGTGCACATTTAATTTCCCCTTTCCTAAATAGCATCAGAACCCCCACAGCAACCTCAGGTAATTATATTTTGTTATCAGTTGAAGTAGCAACTTTCTAGGTGCTATCAAGCTAAGAGTAAATTTTAACCGAGCATTAAATTGATGACGAATTGTACACTGATCCAAATCACCTGAGATACACACGAGGCTATTTATTTTGGACATTTTTATGCGTAACTCCAGTTGATGTCACTTAATTCCAACCATTGGACCAGTCAACGTCACATCCCTGAGGTACAACACAGCAGAATATAGGGAAAAGATAGAAGAGAATGGCACCCCCTAAATTTTTATTTTAAAGTAATTTTACACTCCATTCTTTAGCTAAAGTGTACCCAAAATCATTTTATTTTTGTAAAGTAGGTATAACTGTGGTTGAGGTTTTGGTGTTAACAAATTTCACACAAATTTGCGTCGAGTGAGTCATGCGTACCTGAATTTGGGATTCATCGACGAAGTTTATGAATCCACCGATTGGGCAGAAGAAAATTTGAGTAATTGCGGTCACCATTACTTTCATCGTAGAACTTTATGCCATGGTAGTAATAGTATGGGCCATTACTACACCCGTTCGGAAGGCAAGGAGAAAAAAGAGAGGACCTCGACCCTGTATCCCACCTTCCACCCATCTACTAGCAAGTTGAAACAATTCTTCCACTTTAATCATGCAGAACACTACAAGTTGGTACTTAAAATGCAGTTGAAGGCAATTGGGATGGCTTTTAGAAGAGCTTTACTGAATAAAAAAAGTGACATTTTTGGAGTAAAAAGCTTTTTTTTGGGGGGAAGATTGAAAGTGGAGTGTGTAATTAAAAGTTGATGAGCCCAGTGGGAACACCTCTCCCACTCTGTTCATACCATTTTAAAGGTTTGCTTTAAAAGTCCAAATGTGGGGCGATTGGGGAAAACATGCGACAACTTTCTGCAAGTCACAACGACAAATGATGCGGAGGCGAGGGGAGTAGCACCACTGATTCGCCTACCACCGTCAAGATACCTTCACTCGTCCTCAACCATTTTTAGCCATCATTCTAATCAGTGCTTACACACTTGTCAGGGTAGGTAAAACGTGTCAACTCATCGGTTCGCCTGTCTGCCTGACTGACATTAGGGCCTTCAATTAGCAGGTGCAGTGGCGCCATGCTTAATGCCCACTTGGCCATGTGGACGCACCACTCACTCACCGCTTGATAGCACAGCAATTTGTCCAAATCCATTTAACCCTCATCTCACTTCCTCTGACACCATTTTATCCACCTACCTAGTGCACTGCAACGTTGGCAGCAAAGTCACCTACGCCCACATTCTACCTCCCATCAAGCTTGAAGCAACGAGAAAGGAGAGGAATTTCAAGGGAAGGAGTAGGTAACTTCATCGTCGTGTTAAAATTGGTGGTGTGGGGAAATAAACAGTCTCCTCGACATCACGGAACTTCCGTGACGGCATCAGCTCTGAGACAAGTCCGCCCGGCCATGGCATTGTGGCCACCTGAGTGACCGCAACCGAAACAGCCAATCTAGCAAACAAAACATTGCACAAAATAATGCTTCAGGAACCCAAAAAAATTGCATCTCCATGCATCAGTGATTTGTTTTGTTCCTTCCTGCCCACCTCATACTGTGCAATACAGCACAAGGAAAAGGCTTAAACCTAAGACATCATTTTAATTTGCTAAAGATAATTTTTGCCCTAAAAAGCTCTTAGCCATCAGTCCCCTCTTCAGTAGTATGCTTCGATGAGTTGCGTGACACATTTTTCTGTCATTAATTTAAATTAGCATTGCTGGAATGTAGTGTTATGATAAATTGCAAGCACGACGATGAATAACTCTTACCGGGAGAAGGCAAAAAGTTGACAGGCTTAATTAAAAATTGTAATGTGTGTGTGTGCGTGTGTGTGTGGAAGGCATCAAAAACCGCTGCCTCCTCCTGCGCAGAGGAGTTAAAAGGTCCAGCCATGGGGATTGGTCAGATTTTGCAGACAAAAAGCTCGAGGTTTACCGGCAACGTACAGGCTGCGGCTAATGCAAATGGGCATAAAATAAAACTTATAAAAACGGTGGGCTATGAAGAGGGGAAGGAGCGTGAAGGTAGCCCAACGTAAAATCGTTTTGTGACTGTCGGAGGGAAAGAATCACAGGTGTTTTGACTGCTACTTTTAAAATTGATGAGCACCATTGAGGAGGCAGGGCAGACAAATGATAACGATTTATCTTTCTTACAAGTTAGACTGAAGCCTCAAGTTGTCATTTTAAGGTAACAATGGTAAGCTATTCTCCACGCGAACAAGTTAGACGCAAACTCAATTCATGCGATTTAGCTTACCATTTAAATTGAGGATTGAGAAATAAAGATTCATTCACGGTTATATTAGTGTAAGTGACAAAACCCAAATCAACGAAAAACAAGAAAAGTTATTGTAATGCGTGTTTAGTAAAGATTTTGTAATTCTCAGTCGTTATTTAAACTTTTTTAACATTGAGAGAATGTTTTACTACATCGAAGGTCTCTACGGTTGCCAGCATGATATTCGAAGACTGAGCAGAGTTCGAAATGCGGTTCCAATAGGTGGTTGCCTACACTAGCACAAAAATGTCCTCAAAATAAACTTTGCTTCATCACGAACTCGGTGAATCGCAGAGTCATAGCCTAAGACACAGATCAGCAAGTTTTTAACTGACACTAATGCAAATAATAAGCCGTGTTTTACACAAACGCCTCCTTAAAGAAATTCATGGCGAGTAAAAGAAACCGTTGTAAGAATGGCGCATTAAGGACAATGCTCTGGTGTACTTGCATAAAGTTTAAGTCCAAACATAGAGCAAAGGATAAGGGAATTGCTAACATGAGAACTGTCGGTCTTGGTTGGTGAAGGGAGAGGATGAGAGGTGCCTTCGAAAAATCTGGCAGTGAGGATCGTCAGAGGGTTTAATATGCCGCCCGCGGTGGAACATAACGTCTTGCTGATGTCTTGAGCGGTCTCATGACAATATGCCTTCAGCCAACCAATCGAACATCCGCCTCACACTCCTCTTCAAACACACATTTTCACTCACCTCCAGGCAACATGGTGAGCAAGCACTACCATCTCATCTCTACCACATGCACGCACCACGACGAGAACAGCCTTGTGGAGGAGGAGTGGTGCGGACAGTGATGAGAGTGGTGGCGTGTCGGAGGCAACTTTGCCGTGTGCTCGCTGACGACGTTGGTTAGAGTCGAGCCATATTATCCAATCCGCGCCATCCATGCAGCGTCAACAGCCTCCACGCCAGATGTGTGAAAGGTGAACGAGCAGCAGCAGCAGTAGTAGTTGCTTCCCCACCGCATCCACATTGGATGTGCGAGATCAGTCAGCGGTGCGTCGTTGTTCACGTCAAATAATGCCGACACGTGTGTTGCAGCCACACTTTACCTCCACCTCCTATCGCCTCCACACTCCTCTTAGCAATACATCCACCATTTGCGCACACCACCCACCTTGCAGCATGAGGAGAGGTCCTCACTAGACTCATCTCACACTCCCATCATCGCGCCTTCGGATCGCACTTCTGACCACCTCGGTCTCCCCACCACGACCACCTCCTCCTCCTCCGACTCCCCATCAACCAAACTGCACGTTGAGAATGCCACGCAGCCGCACATCATACAACAACGCTCTCACTACCACCACCAACACCACCCCCACCAACTCGTGACAACAGACAAAGCAATGGCATCGAAGACATGGACTGCAACCCTCTCCCTCCTGCTACACACTCGCCACACACACACACACACCCACCGACTGCATGCCATCTGGCCACGCACCACACTCAAGTACCACTACTTGCACAGGCACGATTACTTACAAAGGGTTAATATAAAGACGCAATGTAAAGACGAATGATGACATACGAGTCGGTGAAACCGACGATTGTTCGTGCAACAAAAGAAACATTTTTAATGACTTTTACATTGATGCTGAACAAGTGATGCACGCTCGACTGCAAGTGGCCACACACCAAAGTAAAAGTAAATCCGGCTTTCAATGACGCGCCTACAAGAGAAGAAGAGGAGGAGGAGGAGGAAGAAGAGTAAGGCCAAAAGCGAGGAGAGCACTTTGCTGATGCCACTCACCGTCATGATGGAATGCCACTCCACCCTCTCTCACTTCACGGTCCCCGAACGACGTGATTGCCACCTTCTCACTCACCGACCATGACAACACGCCACCGTACGTGTTCACCACCTTGTACTCCATGCCTCCATCGCCTACGTTCGAATAAAACGCGTGCTCACACAATCCACCTAACCCACATTCCCACTGCTAGTGACACTGCGGACCAACGGAAGAACACTTACA